CTGCCCGCCCCCACCTCCAGGCCCCGCCCCTGGCTCATGGTCTAGGGCTTCTTTGCTGCTCATCTAACCAAAGGCCTTGGCCCTTTGGGGCCCTCGGAAGCCTTTATCCTCCACAGCCTTCCCCATCTTTCTTTTTTTTTTTAAAGATGTATTTATGCATACAAGGACTGGGGTACAAGCCAGAGGTGTGAGGAGTGAGGGGACTCACCAGACACAGAGTAGGGAGCAGAACAGGCAGATAGAATGAAATACACTGCTGAGGGGAGCAGGACACAGGAGAGGTCTGCTGGGCTCTGTGGGCCAGCTCCCTGGCCAGGGATGGAATTCATGCTGCAGTGCCTACGGATAGCTTCACAGTGCTGTGCTTTAACCTACTGTGCCACCAGGGAGGGCCCCTGTTTCCTGCTTTATTTATCATTGCAGTATTGCTGTATTTTGAACAAGTTTCCTTGTTCTACCTACTCTTTAACTTAAGAAGTTTGATATCAAAAGTAATACCATTTCTTTGCTAAATACAGGCAAAACTAATTTCTCCCTCCTCTGAGATCTAAAAGTACTTGGCCATGAAGCTGAGCTAGGCATTAGCACATTGGGGGGTATTTTGTGTCTATATGTGTGAGGAAAATAGATCTTCTTGAAGGTCCCCTTTAACAACCTTGACCACATGGCACCCTGCATCAGTCTACACTTCAAACACTTGCTTTTGGTTTGATGAGCACTGCCATCCAATCAACCAGGACCAACGACTGTTATGTGCAGAAATAGAACATAGTTATCTAGTATCACTCTGACCTGGATTTTTTTTTAAGATAGGGCCTTAGAGATGCGATTAAATTAAAACAAGACCACAGGCTAGACCTAATCCAATATAAACTTGTTCTTTTAAGAGGAAAATGTGGACTTAAAGGAGATACAGGAACGCCCTCTCACAGAGAAGCTGCCTGTCATCCAGGGACAGACTGCAGGAGAATTTGAACACCTTGCTCTTGGACTTAGAGCCTCCAGAACTGTGTTTCATGCTGTGTTACTTTGTCATGGAGCCCTAGCAAAGTAATAATCTAGCAAACTTAGAGGAAATGTGAAAATTAAAGGAAACCTGAACTAGAAGTGGAGTCATGATGGGCTGTAGAGGACACTCTTGCAGTCCTCACTCACCATTTTGCACAGACACCCTGTCATTTTATGCCAACCCTGACATTTCAGTCAGGAAAAGGTCTATTCTAGCACTTTCTTTCCATCCATATAAGCAAGCATCTTTGCTTTGTTCTCTGGATTGGCCTATGGCTTGGCGATCGTATGAATGTCCCTAACTGTAATTCATCTGCTATTGCTGAATAAACCCATTTTGCAATAAAATAAGGGGGGGAGGGTGTTATTTTTTAGATCATCGTGGGCAATTTGAATTAGTATATGGCATATCGTGCTAGGAATTATATTTCCCACCCTTCTTCTCTTTTAGAAGAGAAGCTTGAAAGAGCCCTGGTGGCGCAGCGGGTTAGAGCGCAACACTGTGAGGCTACCGCAGCCACTGTAACATGAGTTTGATCCCCAGCTGGGGGGGTGACCCACATGGTGTGGCAGAGCTCTCCTGACCCGCCATCAGTGTACTTTGTTGATCTGCCTGTTCTGTTCCCCACTCTGTCTTTAGTGAAGCCTCTCACCGCCCCGCCCCTGCATTTCTGGCCTGTCCCCCAGTTCTGTATGCATAAATAAATAATCTTTAAAAAAAGTTCTGGCCCTCGCTGGTGGCGTAGTGGGTTAAAGCACAGCACTGCAAGCTAGTTGCAACTCCTTCAGTGTGAGTTCCACCCCCAGCCCCAGCCAATCCACATGGTGCTGCTCATCTCTCCTGCCTTGCCTCTCCTCTCTTGCTGCTCTCCTCAGTTGTGTACTTTGTAGACCTGCCTGTTCTGCTCCCCACTCTGTTTCTGATGATCCTCTCACCTCCTCCACCTCTGGCCTGAACCCCAGTTCTGTATGCATAAATAAATAAATCTATTAAAGAGAGAGAGAGAGAGAGAGAGAGAGAGAGAAGCTTGAAAAAATGACCTCTGAATCACTAAACTTTCTGCAGTAAAGGCCTGTGAATCCACTCAAACAATCTTCCTAGGATAGAATTACTTGGACAAAAGGCAACCAGTTCCTTATGGGGAATTCTGATTGTCAAAGAAACAACCGAACTCAATGTCAGTTTACTTTTGAAGGAACATCTTTATTTTGTCTCTTGGCTGAACACCAATGTTTCTGCACCCACCTCTCCAAGGTGGATGAGTACTGAGGGAGATGGTGATGGTGCAGGGAGTAATTCCCAGGCTGCGATGCAGTGGCACACAGGGCCAGTGTGGAGAGCTGATCTACAGAAGGCAGGAGATGGCTGGAGTCCACAGCTCCCTCCCACCATTCCACCCTAGATGCTGTTAGACCTGCCAGACTGGTTCACCATTGTTAAGAGGAAAGGAACAGAGGGTGGAGAGAGCTGAGAGCCATTCCCAACCTTTAGCAGAGAGTCATTCCCAACCCTGTCACAGATGGGGGGGATTGGGCCAGGGGTGGGGGTGGGACCTGAGTTCAAACCTACCTCTGCCCACCTCAGCTCACTCTCTTCTTTGTGTTCACTGGTCAAATGGAGATAATCATCCTTTTCTCTGTGTCCCTCCCAATAGTTTCAATTAAGAAAACTCCTTAGGCCTCCCTGGTGGCACAAGGGGTTAAAGGGCAGCAAATAAGCCACCAGAGTTCAAGCCCTGCCAGGGAGGTGACTGACCCACATGGGGCAGCAGACCTCTCCTGTCTTGCCCACTGCTCCCCTTGGCCATGTATTTCAGTCAATCTTCCTGTTTTGCTCCCCCCTCTGTCTTTGAATCCTCTCACCCCTGCACCTCTGGCCTGTACCCCAGTTCTTGTATGCATATACAGATATTTAAAAAAAATAAAAATCCTCATGCTTTAAGGATAACCTTGTACTAATGGCTCAATGCAAGGTTCACTCTCAGATTCCATGATTTGTTAAGGGGCCTCATCTAACTATACTCAAGCATATGGCTTCTTATATAGCCTGAGGACACAAAACCAAGTTAGCAAAGACAAAAGGCACACAAGGAGATGCCCAGAGGAAGGGAAGCTCGAGCTTCCAGAGTCTGAGTCCGCTCCCAGTGAAGTCACACAGGACACACTTAATCCTCCAGGAACCAGGGATGGTGACACATTGACACATTGTTGACCTGGAAATCTCACCAGACTCTCAGGGAACAAGGTTTTTCTTGGGGACTAGTAATAGGCACTGTGGCCTAGCAGGTACAAAATTCCAGATTCTCAGAAGTAAGTGGGGGGTTAGCATGAAACCCCCTTGATAATAATCATTTAGGTGCCACTGGTCATTCTTATCATTTAGGGGATGGCAGGGGCACCCCTGAGATTCAAGTGCCCTGAGATCCAAGAGTTGGCCTAGCCAGCAGAGGACAGGACTCCCCGGCCTGCCACGTCCTGTTTGCACAGTCTACTCACTCCTTGCACCCCAGGAGAGTGCCGTTGGCATTAGTGTGGGCTTGGAAAATGCCCAAAATGGATGTGCATGTGGCTAGGGGACCCCAGCATCTTCCGCCGGTGTCCCATAGGCCACATGTGGATCATCTTTTGTCTTTTTTCCATGTTGGGACTTAGTCATGTTGAGGCACTTGTCAGCTAACAGAACCACGGGGGTGATGGCTCCTTTTTTTTTTTTTTAAGATTTATTTATTTATGTATACAAGGGTTGGGGTACAGCCAGAGTCTTGGGGAAGTGAGAGGAATCACCAAAGACAGAGAGGGGAGCAGAACAATCAGATCTACTAAAATGCACAGTTGACGGTATCAGCAGGGAGACAGGAGAGGTTTGGTTCACCATGTGGGTCAGCTCACCGGCCGGGGAGTTCTGGGTCAGTATGAGAGTGTCAGCAGCTGAGGAGGTGGAAAGAGGCCATGAGCTCTCAGACATGGGTCATTCTGTCCCTTTCTAGACGTGTGTGTGGAAATGGGTTCTAGTGAGAAGGCCCAGGCTGTGCTTCGTGGGGGCCTCATCCACCCCCACAAAGACCTCACCAGCCTGTTCCCCAGGTGTCAAGACAGGCTCACTGGGATACTTGTCCAAAGACCCAGTGCCAATGAACAGGGTTGGAAGCCGTGTCTTCTCAATGCCCAGCAGGTCAGCTGCCACAACGGCTCTAGGCCAAGGCCTGCAGCTCCTTGCCAGGCAGGTGCCCTCAGGTTTTGCATCTCTTCCTTCCTCTGCCTGGGGCCTCTAGACCAGTGCTCACTGGATAATCACCCAGATAATCTCCCCTTCTTAAGGACCAAGGTGAGGGTAGGTAATGGAGATGGAGTGATCAGAGCCTCCCGCCACCATGCGGGGTGTCTGGGAAGCAGCGCCCGGGTGTCCCAGAATCCTCCCCTCACTGTCTCCATCCCTGCACGTGTTCACATGTCACCTGCAGCCAGAGACACAAGGGCAAGAAGACAAATTTGGCCCTTCAGACCAAGACAGCGAGTGCAACAAGACAGGCAGTAGCCAAGGAAATGAAAGGAACGCTCAGTGAGGGGCGCTCTGCTGAGCGGGCACTAGGTCGCACTGGGTGGCATCGACTGGGTGGCGCGGAAGGGGTCTCTGGCCACGCACCGCTGCAGCCGCCCAGAGAAGATAAAACAATGGGAAGGCCGAGGTGAAGGGTGTCTGATAGCCACCAGCCCATGAGAGGCCTCCACCCTGCAGGTCCAGGCTTTCTTCTAATCACGTTTAACACATTGAACAGGGAAGCCTGTTTTCAAGCCACACCCCAAACCACTAGGCACCGAGTCTTACTCTGCTTCCTTGGCCCTGGCTGGTGTGTGGAG